GGGAACAACTTTTGGCTCTGATCGGGCAACCTCAAAAAATTTCCAGCAAGGAAATAATTTTGTCATAATGGGCAACAATTTTTGTGCCCTCAACTGGCACGAAAATCTGCTAGCATCATATAAGTGCATTTTCAGAAAAAAAATCATAACTCGAAAATGACGAATTTTAGCATATTGCTACTTGTACTGAAAATAGTTTATACTATTCCCCAATAGACAAAAAAGTTTGAGAGAAAAAAAGATGTGGCAATTTGAAAAAAATCAATTTGAAAAAAAAATTTTTTTTTTTTGTTTATAAACAATAATTAATTATTAATAAACAATTACTGATGTTAAGTTCACTAGATCGATTCAGTAGATCAATACCTGCAATTTAAAAAAAAATCGTTAAAATCCTTGCTTTTTTGCGGCAGTTATAAACGATTTCATCAAAAGTTGCTATTAAGAGAGGAAAAAAGAAGCGTTCGTACTCAAAAAGAAAAAAAATTCATTATTCGAAAAATTCGCATTTCTGAGCAAAAAGAGAGAATACGTGTCTCCTTAAATTGTTCAAGGAACAATCCCTGTGAGTTTTATCGCAAACTTAAATTCACTTTCCGCCGGCCTGGGTGATTTGAGATGGAATGAGCCATATACAAATTAGCGGAAAATTTCAACAATAAAAATCAATAACAATTAAACAAACTTTATTATTTGTTGTAAAACCAGGAAGTTTGATTGAAAACCGGGACATTTTAAGGCTGGATCGTGACATCGAGGCAATCCGGCAACTCAATTATTGTATAATTAAGCGCAAGTTTGAAATTACTCAGAATTTGCGTTGTTTTTGATAAATTTATAGTAACATTAATAATAACGCATACAAAATATAATTTTTGTAATACAAAATCCGCAATACCGTCATTAAAAAAAAAAATTTAAAATCAACCGGAATTTTGAGAAACGCCAAATTTGTTTATACAAAAAGTTTAAACCATGTTAAAAAAATTTGAAAGTAAAACCGCTGGGAGCCTGAAGATTTTTGAAGTTTGCTAACATAACAAAAATGTTTTAAAACTTACAATAAAATGAAATTGGAATATTTTCACTTATTTGTTTTTTGTTTTACTTTTATTTGGCATTTGAGTGCTCTCAAAATTTAAGTTTTATAAAATAGACAAGAGTTTGCTAATTCCTTTCAAATATTGTAAAAAACTACTGTTGCAACATTTTTTATATATACTGTACATATTAATCATTGTGCTAAGTTTCTAAAAATGTGTAATTGCAGTGTTTTGTACCTTACCTTTACAAGATCCGCCGGTCGCATCACGGTAAATGTAATGGGTTTTGAAATTAAATACGTGCTGTAATCTGCACTCATCATACATTTTTTTAGCCAGAATTTCACTCCATTTTTCTTGCTGCAAAATTGTATATTTTCGTAATTTTCTTTTTTTTCCATTCGAAGTGATGTAATACGACGTTTCGCTGAGCAATTCTTTGAATTCTGTTTTCCCAAGCGTCAACGTAAAAAATAATTTCTTGGGCAAAGTCGTGTCCAGATCGCGATTGCTATCGTCACAAATTTCGTTCGTAGATTCATCATTCGAAACAGTTTCGAATATTTTGCGACCGAGTAATTTATCAAGGAGTCCGTATCGATTACTAACAGTCAAAGCATGAATAGATGCACTTTTCACTTTATTGTTAAACAAATTTGCTATGTCTTGCCAAACACTGTTCGAGGCAGGAACAATTTTATGGCCCTCAATTAGCCTGTCCTTAAATTTCAGCACAGACTCTACGTATTCATCGGCGCAGATTTCAGCGCGCCTACCACGTTTCCTTTGGGGAGGATCCATTTGTACACTTGGTTACCACAAATATCGTAAATAATATTTTTTCCCCAATTTCCAATCTCTGGCTTTCCGTTCACAAATAAAGTTTCAATTTTTAAGTTTATTGGTTTATAGTAAAAATATAGTTTGTACTTCAACAAAAAGGAGTCCGTAAAAATATTCCAAAATTAATATAAAACTTATGAATGTTCATTAAATTTTCGTCAAAATTTTGAAGTCTTAAATTAGATTTTTTATAAAAATAGTAGCAGTTTTGTAGCCCATTTAATTTAAAGACAGCAAGGTGCAAGTTTGAAGTGGTCTAAAGTTACCCTGGAATTTTGATAACAGGTGTTCGCGTGTTGATTTTTATATTTTTTTTTAATATGCACAATATTTTTCTAGCTATTAATTATTTTTCTATAAAAATATATTCAATCCTTTACTAGAACCATATAAACGAAAGTTTCTAGCTTTACAAAATTAAGTAAAAATCAGAAAATTTACATAAAAATTTCGCGCTTTTTAAGCTGAATCTTTACAAAATTTTTAGTTATGCAGTATTATAGCCCATACCATTTTAGTATTATAAATTGCGCTTTTTTGCGCGCTTGAAACTCCATTAAAATTGTATGCGCTATTAAACTGCATATCCAAAAATGTTTTAAAGATTCAGTTTCAAAATTTTGATGAAAATTTGTTGAGTTTTCATAAATTTTGTATTAAGTATTAAGTTTGATACTTTGCAACAGGTAATTCTTATCCATATTAAATTTGCACGTTATTATTCCTAAATACTAAATTTTTGAGAATTATTTTTAATGTCTTAAGTATAAAAAGCTCAAAATTTTGACAAAAGTCTTATGAATTTATGCAAATTACAGCCAGCACAAATGTTCAAATGCACCGTACAGCACTTTTGGTGTAGGTTTTTTTTTTATTCTATCAGGCCTTTCAAATAAATACTTTTCACATTAACACTTGGAGATCTTTAAACGATTGAACTAAGTACTGAAAATGTTACCCCTTTTATACTAATCAACTACGGACAGAAAAATATGGTACCGTTATTTTTGCCAGTTAACCATAAACTACAAAAATGCATGTCCTGGCTAGTGGCCTGGCACTCTGGCAAAACAGCAGATGAGCTCAAGCACCGAATGTTGACAACAGTAGTTGCTTGAGCTGATCTGATGTTTTGCCAGACTGTCAGGCCACTTGCTCACTTTGGTGAATACATACCACTATAGAAAAAAAGTATTGGCGCCAACATGGAATTTCCATCACGCGGATGTTTGGCAGAATTTTCCATTGGCGTGTAAACGCAATCAGTTTCGTCGGCCCGCAGAACAATTGCAAGCGAGGGCGCTGCTTTGTATACATACATACATACAATGTACATATGTAGGAATGTATGTAAATACATACAGTGGCGCTCACACCCTCTACAAAAGAAATCTCACGCAAAATATTTGTTGTGTTTTCGTGGGCAATGATCGGGATCCGGAAAAAATGTGTACGCAAATGCAACAACAACGATATTATCCTGATAGTGATCTCGTTCAATTTATGATCCGCTCTTTTTAGTTTGTGTCACTGATAATATGGCACTGCGATGAATATTATTTCGTTTAACAGATCTGTTCTGCACGTTACCAAAGATTTTGTAACCGGAAAATTTTATTACCAAAAAATGGTACCAGATCTTGTCACCGCGATTCTAGGAACGTTGGTAATGCAGTTAAAATATTCAGCAATTCAACTATGAAGAATTGTGGAAATTCTGGCATTGCATATTTCACGGGGCAATACTTTGTTACCGCTTATGAGATGGTAATGAAATTCGCCGCTTACAAGAGTACACAGAATTCGAAAAGGGTTTAAAATTTGACAGGAACTTAATTTACCGGTTACAAAACTTTTATTACCAGCGCAGAATAGATCTGTAAATGTACTTTTCCCCATTTACTCAGTTCATTTTTATAATTTCGTCTTTCTCGTGCTATAGTATAAAATTAGTGCTGCCAACTCGAATAAGAATGATCCAGACCGTTTCCGTGAGAAATGATCGTGATACTGAACTGTATAACCCAAATAAACACAGCTATTGTGAATATTGTAAAAAATAAGTGCGCTATTTATGTGAGCGCCACTGTATGTACATATGTATATTCATTCAATACAACGCGAGACAAAAACGACAGTTTAAAATCTAAAAGAGCTGAGTTTGTGGTTAGACAATAGAAACAAATTTTAGTTGGTTTCTTAAATTATTTCTATTGCAACTGCTCCGCTTATACTACTTGTTTAGCAAGTGTGTTCTGCCGAACACTCCAGTAATCCTTACATATGCATGTACGTATGTATGTACATACATATGTAGATATGTTTATATGTATGTACACATGGATATGCATTTGCTTGCGCTATCACAATAGGGGTATTCTCTGAGTCTTGCAAAGCCCTTGCATGGTGCACGGATTGCACGGTTTGCAAAGCTGTCCCATTCGAAAACCGGTTTTAACCATGCAAACCGTGCAATCTGTGCACCATGCAAGGGCTTTGCAAGACTCAGAGAATACCCCTAATGTTCATAACCCTTGCTTGGGTTTGTGTTGCATCCGCGACATGAGGACGCTTAGCGGATCCCCGTTGCCGCTGCCGCCGTTTTTTTGGCATTTCGAATGCGCCTCCGCCGAGTTACGGACACACCGCCGCGGGGTAGTTCGGCGCCTAAAGAACTCAATGATTTGTTTACATATGCAAGCGTCAACTGGCACTGTCCAGCTGCAGCAGCATGTTGGCTAGGCTAAACGGCTGAAATCCTGTCGCGGATGCAAGACAAACTCAAGCAACGCTTAAACGCCTGACAGACGGGCATGATGTACCAGATTAACTAGCACACAAATGCGCATAATACTTTTACTCTGACGGACGACAAATATCTAAATTTAAAAAATAGCTCATTCGTTGTTGTTGATACATAGTACACATACGAATTCTTTGGTGATGACACATGGTTGGTGGCAAAGGGTACGTGTGTGTTCATATGCATACATAAGTACTAGAGCTCTTGATATTCGATTAATCGAATATGCGAATTAGTAAAATTCGATTAGCTGTATTCGAATAATCGCACACCATCGATTATTCGAATAATTGATCGTTTTCAACAACAAATTTACAACAAAAAAGCTACAATTAATGCCGTTGTAACATAATCAATATCTCAATTCTGTCGTCAATGGTGCATGGTGTCAAGTTAGCACTACATACTAAA